AGTTATAGCGTTACTTTGTTGAGAATGTGGCCATGTAATAAGCGGGATAATGTATGCACCTTCATGCCGATCTAGATCCCTCCGCTTCGCGTCGGGCTCCTGATCAGCCTGTCGGTGTTCTTTTCCCCATAATGACCGCGTCGCAGCACATTATCCCTTACGTATATGTGTAGTCATGTTGTGTCTCTATTAAGTATATCCATAATGTGTAGTCATGTTGTGTCTCTATTAAGTATATCCATGTATATGTGTCATTCTGTGTCACTTTTATCTGTCTTATGTTTCTTTGTAATTGCTTTGCCCCTTTTTGTACTCTGTGTGTTCGTTGCAAGTGTCTATGCAACTGTTTACTCAGCCTCTAGTTATTTGGATCCCTTTGTACTATTTTGGTGTCTCTTTGAAGTCGTGTGGCTTCTTTGAGGTTATTTTTAGTCACTTCCTGGTTGGTACTAGGGGTGTAAATCACAAGTTTCATCACAAAACCGAATGATATCAATAACAAATATGCTGATTTCAGTCTGCCATGATCCCATTTAGATTCAGGTGCCCATTTAACACATTTTCATCATGTCACAAAAGCAACTAACATTTGATTCGACAATTTTATTACAGGGCACTAGCAGACAAAAAACCCCGATCTTTCAGTTAGGCGGTGCACTTGGACGGATATGGAGACACAGACGTGCCATGGAAATCTTAATGTAAAGGTGTTTATGATGATATGTATCTGTTTTCACTTCAATATGAGTCTATTGAATTCATAATCATCGAATTGTAACACCCCTAGTTGGTACGTGTCGCTTTGAGTGATATTTTCTAGAAAAACGTAGGTGAAAAGTGTATCTTGTCATCTGTCTTTGTTTCATACAAGTTTTTTAGCTTTCAGGTTTAAATACAAAACTTCCACACCCAAATCAACCAGTTACAAAACATCCACATAATGCAGTCCCTCGTCTTTAAACACATGCGACAAGAGCAGATCAATTGTCAGTTTGATTTAATAAATTATACATACACTTTTAAGATATACAATGGTCATTGCATTATTCCATATCCGTCTTTCTTTTTTTTTTTAAGACAAAGTCTGCGTTCAAAGTATTTACACATGTACAATTATCAGGTAGCACTTTACAAAGCAAGGCATGAACGACAATGCAGATGTTGAGCTTCAAATCAAACTGCTACCCATCACCCTCATGGGGGTTTTCTCAGCTGTCCCATGATTATAATACATCGTCCCGTCCCTCGAGGGGGAACTCAAGAACGATATCCACCGATTGAGGTCCACGGACTGAAGTGAAAATCTAAATGAAGGGTGAGGTACAGGAGACAGGATGTACGCAGGGTGACGGGTGCAAACATGTGGCAACGAGTGACACAAACATCTACTCTGCGACGGGGATGGGGGGGGGCGCCGAGGCCACTCTGCCAGATTTACGCTCGTAGTTGACAAGCCTCTGACCAACCAGGTACCTGTGGAGAGGAGGATCACGTTATAATCACCTTTAAATTACAAACGGTTTCTACAGGTGTGTCGACGCTAAACGACCCTGTAACACTTACTAGTCCAAAATACCCTTTATACATCCCTCACGTACTTATGTATATATCATATTGTAGATTCAACATGTATATTTTCTACTTTTTTGTTTGTCTTTTTAATCTTTATTGTACAATGCCATGTCTTTTATGCTGCTGCAACACAAACATTTCCCACATTGGGATCAATAAAGTACTTCTGATCTTATTTCTTATGTTATAAAGTCACATTTTTATAACAATTAATAATGATAATAAGGCAATTTTATGTGATTATAAATTACTTTTAGGATTCATTGTTGGCTTACAGCAGAGTGAGAATATGATAATGTATTAAATCTTTGGGAATTATAATAGATAAGATCAGAAGTACTTCATTGATCCCAATGTGGGAAATGTGTTGTAGCTTAATACAAAGACATGGCATTGAACAATACAAATTAAAAGACTAGAAATAAACAAGAAAGTAGAAAATATACATGTTGAATTTACAAATTAACAATAACAAGACATAAAGCAAGTTATTATATATATATTAGCATGTGAGGGATGGAATATTAAATATTAAACTGAACATATAGATGTAAAATATGATAACGTATTATGAAATGCTTTAAATATGTTTTCATTATTGTTATTAAGCATATTTTGTTATGTTTGCTAAAAAAAACCTATAATTATACAGTGCTACAAGAAGATCATAACGCATTATAAGTATGTTTAAGATAATATAAAAGATGCTCACTTGTCGTTCTTGATGTGTTCGTAGAGGCGTTTGAACTGTCGGATCTGGAAGGACAGGATGCCGATGAGCGAGACGATCATCAGGAGGAACGGGTAGATTCTCCTCTGCATCAGGATCTCCATCTCTGGGGTCACTCCTGCAAAGCACATGAGCAATGTTCAGTTTAATATAGTATAAGTGAACAGCCCTTTAGCTAACACTGTAGTCACTGCAACAGTAGGGCTGCTCGATTATGGCAAAAATCATAATCTTATTATTTGGGTCAATAATTGATATCACGATTATCCATTTACTTTAAGCACATTTCAAAGTTCTTTACTTTCACTTGAGTAAAGAAGTTTAGTCAATACTTCTACTTTCACCAGAGTATTTTTAAACACGAGTATCTGTACTTCTACTTGAGTAAAGGATGTGTGTACTTTTGCCAGCTCTGCTAATAACATCTCAAATAAATACACGTTCTAATTGGTTCCTTTGTAAACTCACCCACGGCAGGAACCACCCCCGCAGCGATCACATACGGCACGCACAGCGACAGCAGCAGCACGGAGATGACGGGAGCCGCCAGTTTACGGATGATGAACTGCAGGTCGATGTTACGAATCCCATTGGCATAAACCTGAAGAGACGGGACACTTCATTACAATGTGGCGGCTTAAATTCCAGTTACGTTAGAGAGGCTAAGCTCGGCTATAAGCTGCGACACGTTTTCGATGAGAAGTCCATACTGAAGTAAGATAATTTGAAGATATTTAATAAACAAAATCAAAACACAATGACTTAGACGCAGGGGGGTCAAACTCAATTTCATCGCGGGCCACATCACCATTATGGTTGCACTCAAAGGGCCGGTTGTAACTTTAAGACTATATAAATATACACTACTGGTCAAAAGTTTGGACACACCTTGTCATTCAAAGGTTTTTGTTTATTTAAAAAAAATTATACTGTATATATAAAATATTCTGGATTATTTTACACTTTTTTGTTTACTAGATAATTCCATATGTGTTCTTTTATAGGTATTATTAAAATAAATAAACCACTTCGAATGAGAAGGTGTGTCCAAACTTTTGACTGGTAGTGTATAAATATAGAATAGATATTAAATAATGTATTATATTAAATTATTGCCTCTGCATTGGATTATTATCAGTTCAGGTAATAACTTCATAAATAACTACGTCTGAAAGCAGAAGTATGGCCAAATAATTGAAAGCAAATATTCAACAATTACACCAATTGTATTGAATATCATATTCTTTGCAAGCTCTTGCGGGCCACAAAAAATAAGGTTGCGGGCCGGATTTGGCCCACGGGCCTTGAGTTTGACACCCCTGAGGGACAAAAACAGTCAACAGAAAAAATGACAGCACACCCTCTGTCATGTAACAGGTGACCTATATACACAAACCACACCCATGTGACAAATACCAGAAGAGCTCAACAAATACAAATAAAAGTGACGTAAACATAATAATAATAATAATACAAATAATAACTCAGGCTAAATAGCATTTTGGCTCCTACATACACTGTAACTGATACCTCCTCTTGGAGCAGGAAGGAGTGCAAAGTCAGCTACAGAACACTGATTGGTGCATCTCTGTCTGAAACCCACCTGCTCAATAACAGTCTTCAGCCACCACTGAGGGCCCATCAGAGTGATAGCAGCGATGATTTTAGCATGGAGCACTCCCAGAGCCCAGTCCTGTGGGAAAACACACAGATCAACGGCTGAACGTGGAAACAGGAAATGACAATGTTGTAAACAAATGACGCTCTGCAGTTCATTCCTTCAAAAAGATCTTTTAGAATGATTACTCCCTTCCCCTAATCCACAGCCTTTCAAATCACGTGTGTGTCTGTGTCTCTGTCTGTCTGTCTGTCTGTCTGTCTGTCTGTCTGTCTGTCTGTCTGTCTGTCTGTCTGTCTGTCTGTCTGTCTGTCTGTCTGTGTGCGCGTGCGTGCGTCTGGGAGGGAGGGAGGGTTGCGTTTGTTTTGTTTTGTTTTATTTCTGTTTGTCTGTACTATTGTTATTATTTTTAGCTTCCATACGTATTCTGTATGAAAATGGTTGTACATGTTGTGTATTCATCTCAATAGAAATGTTTAGGAGCAAACAGGATGAAGGAACAATAACAACAAAGGGGGATCCTACCTGCCACGGGTAGAAGAGCGGCGTTTGGTCGAGCGGGACTCTGAGAGGAGCGACGATGACGAGCTCGAACAGCAGACCTAGGAGCAGCGGGATGACTCCGGCCACCAGCAGCGCGACCACCAGGGTCTTCAGAATCTGCCCAAACAGCGCGCGACGTACATGAACATGATTAATCAGAAAACTTCAAAGCTTCCTCAGAGTAAGGGGAGAAAATGCCCTTTTAAAATACAATAAACTAATGATAATGTTCCCCTTTAAACTGTGGGGTTTCTCTGGAAGTGTTTCCTTGTACGATGTGAGGGTCTAAGGACAGAGGGTCTAAGGACAGAGGGTCTAAGGACAGAGGGTAAGGGTCGTATTGCCGTACTGATATTCTGAACAAACTGTGAAGTCCACTGAGACAAATGTAATATTTGTGATATTGGGCTATATAAATAAACATTGATTGATTGATTGATTGATAATTTTCCAATTTCATATTTTTCCTGGGTTACATTTTTTAGAATATTTGTTCTGTATATGAAATGCTAGGGGTATTTTCTCACAGTCAGGGAGACGTTGATTAGGAACATTGATTTTGAATAGATTTTTATGTACAGGAAGCCAGGAAAATAGAATGTATCGTAGGACAGACTTGATCTGCTGGAAAATAGTAAAAAAAAAAAAAGCAGATACTGGCAATTTTAGATATCGGCTTATGATATTGTAACAAAACAAAAGTTGCAATTAGGCCCGACTCCAGACAAGCAGCTGGAGTGAGGATCTCAATCCCCTCCACAGCCCAGGTTTGGTGTGTTCCAGCGATGGAGGCTGAACATGGACTCACCATGAGCGTCCACTCCTGAACCTTGCGTGCGATGACGGTGCGACCCTGAGGCATCCAGGCCAGCAGCACGGAGACGCCGCGGATCGACAGCCAGCAGACGTACAGCCCGCACGCCGCCGTGTACAGCTCGTGGATTTTAGAGCTTCCCGTCCAGAAGGACATGAGCCAGCGCCCGGTGAACACTGAAACACACAAGGTGAGGTAAGCTACGTTTATTTATAAAGCATACTTTCAGACACAGAGGTAATTCAAAGTGCTTCACATCATCATTAACACTTAACAAGAAGACAACAGAAAGGAACACAATAAATAAACACAATGGAATTACAGATTCATCAAAAACATGCATAAAAGACATTAAAAACAACATTGTAAATACGGAAGGTGCTTTAAAGGCTTCTGGGTAAGCAGATGAAAAAAGTAGGGTTTTTAGCCGCGACTTAACCCTTGTGTTGTGTTCGGGTCTCCCGTGACCCGTTTCAAGTTACAATTATATAATAACTACGCTCTAGTTTTTTTTATGGGAACAAGGCTTCATGATATCCTCCACAACAGATTTATAAACACTACAAAACTGATTTTGACAATTTTAGCCAAGTCTGAAGGTCTCTAAAAAAAAAGTGTATAATTTGGTGTTGGGGTCCGGGGAGACCCAGCACAATTGTTTTGGGTCACTCGAGGTCAAATTTGGACCAATCAAGATTCCTCTTTGACTTTAGACACCCCCCCCCCTTCATCCACTGTAGCAATAATTTTTCGCAACATGCACCTGGTCTCCCCTCCCTCTGCCCCCCTCCCCCCATGGGAACTCCACCTTTCTCAAAGAATATTAACACTTGAACCTGAACTCACACATGCACGTGTGCAATATGTGGTGTAATGTGTTTTGGGGCCATAACATTAAATACAACATGCTTGTACGGTTATGAATGCATTATAAGTTAATTATGATGTAGTTAAAACAATATTGGATGATAGTCATTTTTTGTGTGTGTTTTGGACTGAGATAAATCATGGGTCAAAATGTCCCTGCGAACACCATGAACGGTAACAGCTTTCGAACAGAACACAAGGGTTATCAACATACAATACAAACCACATGTTGTGCAAACATACGCATGCAGCTGGTATCGATCAGTGTTCCTTAATTGACCTTTTGTGTGTCCGTATTGACATATGGTGAAGGTACATGGAGAGAGATAGAGGGTAAAGTAACCCGAGGCGTTTAAGACCCTGGCATTGAAATGATGGCCGCTGTAGCACAATGAATTTCACGCACAAGTGCACCAACGAGACATGCAGCCGGATCAATATGTGTTGTAGGTTGGACTTACAGCACTTAAAACCGCTATTGATCAGTGTGCCTTTTGGCTTTCGTAACTCATCGTGACCCCGGTCCATTTTCCAGCGAGTCCAAAGGTCTCAGGGTGAATAAGGTTAGGAAAATGACGATAAACAATCAACTCCGTGGAGGAAATACGGCAACTAAGAAAACTCTTGGATCCATTTTAGAGCCGAAGCCAGCGGTGGAGCGAGAGAGAAAGTGTTAAATCGTGTTACAAAAATAAATGAGGTTAGCAACATAAATCTTTCACGCTGATGTTGGAGAAGGTCAATAAGAATAACAATAGTGTGCTATGATTACCGTGTAATAGGGACTATAATAACTTTCCCATAATGCGATTTGTCAAAATGTCGTGAAATAAGGTGGAACTTTTATAGGGTGCTAATGACCTTTAGAAGAACTCAGAAACTACACCTGTGCTTTGACTTGAGGAAATAAATAAAATAATGTAGTTCTGAGCTTAAGCTGTCAAAAAAGTCCTTTCCCCTGTAGCTGCCAAAACAATGGATTTTGGGTTTGAAAATATGTATAATTCACACTGAAAACAAAATCCGCCCTTGGGTCATGTATCGACCTCCTGCAAAAACTTCATTCACAATATAACGTGTCCCAAAGATTCAATATGTTTCTTGTAATATTTAGTTATCACTAGTTATCTCTAGTTATCTTTCTGCTGTCGATTGTGTATTAGTTGTATCTATCTGAAGCTTATTTCACATACTATTGGCTTAAATCTGTGTTTCTTATGTATGCTGAAGAACATGCTGTGAGTACAGTTAACTGTTACCCTCTTTACTTACAGGTAGTGCCTACAAGTGATCAATACCTGCATGCTTCACCAGCAAAGCATATTTCCGGCCTAAGCTAGGCTAAATTGTATTTTATTTACCAGGAAAGTGTAATTTAGATTTAACATCTTGTTAGCAAAAAACTATTATTTTTCAGAAATATGCAAAGAGGGCTTTAAGGCCCTGCAATTAGTTCCCATGGTTACTAGCAACTGGAACTCAATGCTAAGATTGTGAATGTTACTATTATACATATTATGTATAATAGTAACATTCACAATCTTGTATTGTAATATAATTTCCTAATATTGAAGACATACATACATTAACTGGTTGTATGGAAGGCTTTAGATATTTACAAGTATATTAGTTAAACATAATCTGAGATTTTCTTTTATTACACCAAACACGGTACTTCAATGATGGCTAACTTAAAAAAGACTGTTCACATTCATAGTTGTTAAAGTGCTACGAAATGATATGAAAACGTTGTATCAACAGACTGGACGTCACTGTCAAATCAAACTCCCATTCAGAAAAGTAATCAAAACACAACGCATGTTAAAGCATAGAACTGGATGTCGGTATTTCAGACTTAATTAAAGTTAAACAATTCAGAATTACATTTCCAGTCTTCTTCATTTATGACGCACTTAACTTGAACAGCTTTCCCGATATGTTTTGTGATGCACTTTAAAATTATCCTACAATTATTACATTATCAGTATTACTGAGGCGCTAATGGGAAAAGCAATTACCTGAACCTACACATCGCTGAGTGTAAATTAGCTCGCCCTGCAGAGGCAATTACCGAGCGTCCTCTTCAATGAGTCGGTCTCGTGCTGCGCTCCCAACAAAGGGCTCAGCTTGTTGTGATACGGCCGTATAGGAGGAATTATGTGTGGTGTGTTTCTCTTTGATAAAGCAGGCGTGTGTATGACCAGCACGGCCTGACAGGGACTCTTTAATTCAACTCCCACTATCATCACGGTCAACAGCACGCAGCCTTTCAGCACCATTACACACCCTAATGGAACTGCATGTAATATATCCTCCCTACGCAAACCTTTTTTCTCTCCAACACAGAATTATCAACCTCCATTTCCTCCCTCCCCTCCCTTTCACCTGTCTCACTGAGTCTGGCGTCCTCCCTCCACACGTCTCCGTCTCTTTGTTGGAGAAAAGACGCCCACCGACTGAACACTTCCACTTGAGTGCTGAGTGGGAGAGAAACCGACTCCAGCCTCCACCTTGTGTCCGTTCTCCCTGCAGTCTTTACCTTGCACTTATCATTTCCATTTCTACATTAAACCTGAGTGCTCTGACACCCGGTTACAGGTTGAGTAACTAAAGTATATATTTGAGACTAAAGTTGTGCTTCAGACATATACTGTAAGAAATGCAGTTCATCTAGATTCATATGTCAAATAATAACTCTTACTGTAATATTGGAAATCGGGTATCGTATTGACCTTGGCAGTAAAAGTGTGTCAGCCGTGATACTGAATATCATGAAATGCCATTAAGAGGCTCATAAATGTTGATGAAAGACATTTGTAAGACTACTGACTCTACATTTAAATGATTAAAGCACATTGGAGAAATGGAAAACTTGTATTCTATTTTAGTGAAAACAAGTCCTCCAGATTAAACGTTATTTTAGTTTGTTCTATTCAAAAACACATTCAAGTCTTCAATGTTAAGGTTCAGTTTAGTCACACAAACAACTTGGTAAGATGGAGAAAAAATATATTAGTCTGGGTTGAATTTGTACTTCAAGTTCAGGATTTTTGTCAGTTGGCAATGGTTCAGTCACAGTTAGGTTGTATAAACACAGACACACAAAAAAAGCAGTCTCCTGTCTTTGTCTGATGTTTTCTTAAACCATCCTCTTTCCACTTTGTCTCTCTATAAAGTAATGCTTTGTTGTTCATGTCATAATTAATACACCTTGACAAGAGGACTGTGTCAAAAACACATGTTATTTTTTGGGTGTCGTTCTTCTTGGGAGGACAGTTTCTATTGTCACTTTTTGATAAAGCTTTTGAGGCGTTGTCCACCATTACATCATCTCATGAGTTTCCTAATGGCAGTTGGATTGTCGATGGCATTTCATTGATACTCTTTGGTAACTGGCGATAGCTACCAATATCTAGCAGGGGAAACAGAAGCCTTATCCATTACATTACATTACATGTCACTTGTTAGACGCTTTTAACCAAAGCGACTTCAATACTGTGGGCAATCCCCACAGGAGCAATTTGGGGTGAAGTGTCTCAGGGACACAACGACATGCTGACTGCAGTGGGGTTTGAACCTGTGACCCCCTGATCCGAACAGCAACGCACAACCCACTGCACCACACGCCTCCCTCTTCCGGTGTGGTTGCAAGATAGTTATCACTCTTCCTTTTGTGCCGTAAATAAAGCCTTTACTTTGTGCAGTCGCCATTTACGTCATAAGGATACGTTAAAGCAACGCCTTTTTAGGGTGTCAGGCCTCTGTTTCCAAAGTGAAGAATGAACTTTCAGGCGTAAGAGCAAAACATTGCACTGTCATGATCAAACACTAATCCTTCACTTGAGACTGGTGTTGAATTGTACAACAGAAATTCTGCTTGTTGAGCAGTTTGAGCCGTAAGGCCAGGAGCAGCGTACTGTAGGAGAAACAAAGCCTGGGTTTAGCTTCCCCAGACAACTTGGTGAGATCTGAGAAAATCACCTCAAAGCCGACATGGTGCCGACTGTTGTTTCTGCTACCTGCTGCGGTACATGTCAGCAGGTTTATGGCACATAAGCAGACAGTGCCAGACACAATATACAACCATGAGGGATTTACTAGTCTTTTAAAAATATGTGGATTCCAATGAGAGGCTGTCTTTTGGTCAAAGGTTGACAATGTGAGTTCAGATTTGTGATGAGCTGCATGCATTCAAAGCTCAAAGAGGTAGCAACATTCTTGCATCTAATAGTGTTTCAATTCTCAAAGAATCAGATGTACATGATTAGGCTAAGAGGTGGGACATAAGCTGGTTGACCAATCACAACAGAGCCGGCCAGCTAACCGATCAGAGCAGACTGGGCTCTGGTTTCAGACAGAGGGTGAAAAGAGGTGCTGCAGCACAGATAGTATGAGAAAAATAAAGAGCTTGTTGAACATTAAAGCATGGAGACATGTCCCAGGAGAGACACTACATACTGATATACACCTGAACATCAGCAGGAGAGGACTCTTTAAAGTAGAGACACTACATACTGATATACATCTGAACATCAGCAGGAGAGGACTCGTTAAAGTAGAGACACTACATACTGATATACACCTGAACATCAGCAGGAGAGGACTCTTTAAAGTAGAGACACTACATACTGATATACACCTGAACATCAGCAGGAGAGGACTCTTTAAAGTAGAGACACTACATACTGATATACACCTGAACATCAGCAGGNGTCCAGTCCTCAGGGTCTCTCAGTCCATAGGGTCTCCCAGTCCAGTCCTCAGGGTCTCTCAGTCCATAGGGTTTCCCAGTCCAGTCCTCAGGGTCTCTCAGTCCACAGGGTCTCCCAGTCCAGTCCTCAGGGTCTCAGGTATCAGGGTCTCCCAGTCCACTCCTCAGGGTCTTTAGTCCTCAGGGTCTCCCAGTACTCAGGGTCTCTAGTCTTTGGGGTTTCCCAGTCCTCGGGTCTCCCAGTCCAGTCCTCAGGGTCTCCCAGTCCTTGGGGTCTCCCAGTCCAGTCCTCAGGGTCTCAGGGGTCTCCCACTCCAGTCCTCAAGGTGTCTAGTCCTCAGGGTCTCTCAGTCCACAGGGTCTCCAGGTCCAGTCCTCAGGGTCTCAGGGGTCTCCCAGTCCAGTCCTCAGGGTCTCTAGTCCTCAGGGGTCTCCCAGTCCAATCCTCAGGGTCTCCTCTCCGGCTGTTATTTATGATTTTGGTGATCTGCTGTAAAGAATCCATATCTCTGACCTGCATTATCCAGTGTACTGACCTATATTTTATTTTTTGTCCCTCCCCTTCCTCCCCATTGGTTGATTTGCATTGCCTCCCCCTCCATGCTCCTCCCTCATTGGATCACTCCCTCATTAACTCTTCATCATGGGGGGACTCCTCCTCCTCCTCCTCCTCCTCTGGACTCTCTTCCTGTCTCACGCTGCTTGTTGCTCTTCTCTCCCTCTAAAGATGGTTACGCCCCAAAGTCTGTTTACCCTCTTCGGTATGTTATCCTGATCTCTCTCTATTGATCTCTGATCTCTCTCTATTGATCTCTCTCTCTCTCTGATCTCTCTCTATTGATCTCTGATCTCTCTCTATTGATCTCTCTATTGATCTCTCTCTCTCTGATCTCTCTCTATTGATCTCTGATCTCTCTCTCTGATCTCTCTCTATTGATCTCTCTATTGATCTCTCTCTCTCTGATCTCTCTCTATTGATCTCTGATCTCTCTCTATGATCTCTCTATTGATCTCTGATCTCTCTCTCTGATCTCTCTATTGATCTCTCTCTCTATTGATCTCTGATCTCTCTCTCTGATCTCTCTCTATTGATCTCTCTCTCTATTGATCTCTCTCTCTATTGATCTCTGATCTCTCTATTGATCTCTCTCTATTGATCTCTCTCTCTATTGATCTCTCTCTCTCTGATCTATTGATCTCTCTCTCTGAGATCTCTCTCTCTCTGATCTATTGATCTCTCTCTCTGATCTCTCTCTATTGATCTCTCTCTCTATTGATCTCTCTCTGAGCTCTCTCTATTGATCTCTCTATTGATCTCTCTCTCTGATCTATTGATCTCTCTCTCTCTCTGATCTATTGATCTCTTTATCTATTGATCTCTCTCTCTCTGATCTATTGATCTCTCTCTCTCTGATCTATTGATCTCTTTATCTATTGATCTCTTTATCTATTGATCTCTCTGACTCTACCTTCTCTTTATGCTCTATTTCTATCTTTGAGACATTTATCATTACTATTATTGATCATGGGAGGCCTGATCGTTATTAGGTGATATTTACGAAGTATACGTGATTTAAAGATCAGCGTTAATGCTTTTCAGTCGATTATGCTGCATCGTGAACAGCTCTGCAGGAGAGCTAGCTAACATTAGCTGTTATCGTTAGCTGTTAGCCATTAGCTGTTATTGTTAGCTGTTAGCCATTAGCTGTTATCCTTAGCTGTTAGCCATTAGCTGTTATCGTTAGCTGTTATCGTTAGCTGTTAGCCATTAGCTGCTATTGTTAGCTGTTAGCCATTAGCTGTTTCCATTAGCTGTTAGCCATTAGCTGTTTCCATTAGCTTTTATCGTACAACTCTGAGTAGCATTAAAATAAGTCAAATCCATATTGGTGGCCATAAATGTGATCGGGACATCTCTAATTATTATTATCTTAAGCCTTATGCATTTCTTTGCGCAGAGTAGCTTGTTTTGTTAATTTATGATATATTTGGGCTCCAGTTTATTTAGGTTAATTCTCACTACTTAGCCCTAACCCCCCCTAAACTTTAAAGCATGCAGTTTTTATCTCTGTTGAGGGTCTCTCTTCTCTCTCTCTCTCAGACCTGTTTCTCTCTGTGTTTCACGCTAACCTTCCTCCTCTAACGTCTCCTCCTCCTCCTCCTCCTGGTGCAGGAGTGTATGGTGATGTGCAGAGGGTGAAGATCCTCTACAACAAGAAGGACAGCGCTCTGATCCAGATGTCCGATGGGAACCAGGCGCAGCTCGGTAAGACAAGCATCCAAAGTATAATTTACCTGTGAATCTGAACGACTATCTGTATTATTTGGTGTGAATGCTAAGAGGCAACATCACATTTTGATTGGCTTCTTCTCCCAAAATGCAGAAATTCAGTTCAAACTTTAAGACATTCAGATCGATTAGGAATCTACGGCTATTACTCCTGACATCCATCACTCATAACTGCAGAAATATGAACCATAAGTCATCCAAACGTTTGTATTAAGTTCAGCGTTCAGCATTCACCAGTTTATTTTAGGCTAAATTAAGTTTAAAATAGGGCTTTCATTTTCATTTTGGTTTTCACTTCTTATTGACTTGTGAATTAAATGAAAGGATGTCTGATTGAGTTTAATGATTGAAGAACAACTCTAACGCCCCTCTGCTCCCCAGCCATGAGCCACCTGAACGGGCAGAAGATGAACGGGAAGATCATCCGCGTGACGCTCTCTAAGCACCAGACGGTGGCGCTGCCTCGCGACGGGCTGGACGACCAGGGCCTCACCAAGGACTTCAACAACTCCCCCCTGCACCGCTTCAAGAAGCCCGGGTCCAAGAACTTCCAGAACATCTTCCCCCCCTCTGCCACGCTGCACCTCTCCAACGTGCCGTGAGTACCAGCTGACGGAGGCTCAGAGTCATGCTATAGAAATATCACTACATGCTTTATCCAAAGACAAAAAGACCCCTTCACTTCCTGTCTGTAGACGCAAACAAACACTCTCCAGTGTCAGCAATTCACTCAAAGAGTCCATCTCTTATGAAATGTAGACTACATTTATTACGGAGTTTATGTCCGAGCCAACAGACTCTCAGATCGTTGGCTACTGAGAGAAATGCAAAATACATCGCATGTAGTACGACACAAACCTCCGCTGGGGATTTTCAAAACAAAATACAGTAAAGCTATGGTCGCAGGCCCAAGTTTAGCTCTCTGAGGTCTGAGCCATTTTTTCACGTTAGGCTCGCTTGGGCTTTTTTTGTAAAAATGCTATTAAAACATTAACCTTGGTGACCATCTAGTGGAGCCTCGCAGATGGGGGTGCTGCAGCACCCCCGTCCATTCGCTGTCTCGCAGACGTCCCACCAACACGGCCCCCAGACCCCACGCAGCATTCTCATCTGTTTGTCATTACTGGTGTCCTTTTCTGGTTGCTAACATGCCACTGTAACACATAGTCACTGATGTTCCAGTCACTTATAACTGTGTAAACCCAACCAGATGAATGCTACCGCGTTAGCTTCTGTTAAAGCCAGCCCTCTGTTAGAGCTCTGTACAGATTATATAACGTGTGATTTAACATCTCTTTAACAGCCAGGACGTGACGGAGGAGGACCTGCGGCTCCTCTTCTCCAACGCCGGAGGAACCGTCAAGGCTTTCAAGTTTTTCCAGTACGTACGACGAGCCCTCTGTAACAACATCAGACACTCTTTAGACTTAAAACACATCATGGGGTTTTATGTCTTGTAATTGAAAGACTCCCTATTCTCCTCTTCGTAGTTCTATAGGTGTTAGTGCATGTAAAGGGTCTGCAGAGGCTAAATAGTGACATCACTATGGAACACTCCTATTGGCTAGCGCTCTAACACATTGCACGTGATAGGCTAAGGGGCGGGACATCTATAAGCTGGTTGACCAATCACAACAGAGCCGGCCAGCTAACCAATCAGAGCAGACTGGGCTCTGGTTTCAGACAGAGGGTGAAAAGAGGTGCTGCAGCACAGGCAGTGAGAGAAACACAAAGGTCTTTCTGAAAATTAAAGCATGGAGGCGTGATAAGAACCTGAACAAGAGGAGAATAAGGAAATGAGCTTGATTGTATCCCATCTTGGAACAATCAGTTGATCCTGCTGTAGTTTTATTTCCTGGACGCAGCTAGTGCTATTTGTTGTCTCCTGTGGTTAGCTTCACTTTATAAGTTGTGTTTATATAGCATTACAGCATGGCTCAGGACATCTTAGTCCAGTGAAACCCTGATGATTGATGTCTCCTGAGGTCCTCACTGTGTCTTCTTGCTCCAGGGACCGTAAGATGGCTCTGATCCAGATGACCACGGTGGAGGAGGCCATCCAGGCTCTGATCGACCTTCACAACTACAACATGGGGGGCAGCCAGCACCTCAGGGTGTCCTTCTCCAAGTCCACCATCTAACCCTCTACCGACCATTCCTCCAGAGACTGATGGACGCTCTGTAGTTTGATGTTTCTCTGTTAAAGATACTCCTGTGCCTTATGGATGTCTCCCTGTTTCTACTCCTCAGCCCCCCTATGCTTTCAGGCACATCGGTATTGGGTTTTTTGTTTAGATCCATCACTCTTCTTCTTTAGTTTCTGAGCAGGGGAATATTCCTGACTCTTATTCCACCTGTCCGTCAGTATCCGTGTTTCCGAAGGCTTTCCATAGCGGTGTGTGTGTGTGTGTGTGTGTGTGGCGTTGGCATGCAGGTGACAGGAAGTGATGCATGAAGACTATCTCCTGTGGCTTCTAAGTACTGGGAGAGCTCCTCTGTGGACCAAAGTCTCTGTGCCTTTAGTGTTCCCCCCCAGAGACCCGGTGGAAAGACCCTCGAAGGAGAGACTCCTCCCACTGGAAAGACCCCCAAAGGAGAGACTCCTCCCACTGGAAAGACCCCCAAAGGAGAGACTCCTCCCACTGGAAAGACCCCCAAAAGAGCGATTCCTCCCACTGGAAGATCCCCAAAAGGAGAGACCCCCAAAGGAAAGACCCCCAAAGGAGAGACTCCTCCCACTGGAAAGACCCCCAAAGGAGAGACTCCTCCCAAAGGAGAGACCCCAGGACCCCCGTGTGTTGATGAAGTGTTTCTGTTTTCTACCGCTGAGATTAAAGGAGAGTTCTTTTCTAACGGGACGTCTGCTTCCTGCTTCCAGCTCCTCTGTATCTGTAGCATGCTTAATAAAATATTCTGTAGCTCTCACCTCTCCGTCTCTCTCTCTCTCTCTCTCTCTCTGAAGCCTCTCCAGTCTCACCCCCCTTCAGTCTCGTCTGATGTCTCCTCTCTCCTTTGGGAGTTTCCTAATCTGTCTCCTCTCACCTTCATCACTTACACACTTTTTACACAATCAGCTTTTAATCACAAAAAAGTCAGCAATTAGAGAGGAGGAAAGGAAACGATGAACAACACAGGAGCAAAGAAAGAGACACACCATACACACACACACACACACACACAACACACACACACACACAGAAACACGCAGAAACACCATGCACACACACACAGCAACACCATGCACACACACACACAGCAACACCATGCACACACACACACACACACACACACACACACACACACACACACACACACACACACACACACACACACACACACACACATACACACATACAGAAACCCCATACACACACACACACAGAAACGCCATACACACACAAAAACACCATGCACACACACACACAAACACCATGCACACACACACACACAGAAGCACCATGCACACACACACACAGAAACACCATGCACACACACACACAGAAACACCATGCACACACACAGAAACACCATGCACATACACACACACACACCACACACACACACACACACACACACACACACACACAGAAACACCATGCACACACACACAGAAACACCATGCACACACACACACACAGAAACACCATGCACACACACAGAAACACCATGCACACACACACACATATACACACACAGAAACCCCATACACATACGCACACACACAGAAACACCATGCACACACACACACACACACACACACACACATACACACACAGAAACCCCATACACATACGCACACACACAGAAACACCATGCACACACACACACACACACACAGAAACCCCATACACATACGCACACACACAGAAACACCATGCGCACACACACATATACACACACACAGAAACACCATGCACACACACAGAAACACCATGCACACATGTCTTTGTTGAAGAGCTTAAACTCAGGTGAGTGTTATGTTTTTATTTTGTCTTTCCTCTGCTCAGGTCACATGACCTGCTGTGGCTCCGCCCCTCCTCAGGTGTCACACCTGATTAGTGTATAGAGGAAGGCTGGAGGAGAGGAGCAGCTCTTTGTTATGTCACTTCTTCTGGCTCAGTCTTTAGTATTGAGTACCTGGTAGTCTCGTTTTTGAGTTTATTCATTTATTTTAATTCAGGAGGAGTTCTGGGTCCTTTCGGCCAGTCCTCCAGACGGGTCCCCTTTAAGTTAGAGTGCTTTAGAAGTGTTCAATAAGATCATGTGGTTGCTGTAAACTATCAGGTTTTAATACATGCTGCGGGTCAGTAAAGCCCCGGCCACACGAGGACGATAACTCAAACGGACCGCAATCCTTATTTTCAAAAGAGTCTTCCGTCCACACGCAACAGGCAACAGAAACGTGTCCATTCACACGAGACCACTCCAAAGCGCCGGAGAAGCTGTAGTACATATGCCAGGCCTGTAAGTGGAACTGTAGTCCTACCACAAAAGCAGCAAAGAAGACTTCCCGCGCATGGTTCATGGTTGCCATGGTTGCCCTTCTGTTTATTCTCCGCTGTGGCTCTTTTTCTCCCTCCCCGAGGCAAGCGTTTGCTCCTGCTGTAATTCTCTCCAGTTTGCCACCAGCAGATGACAAACACCCACCTCTCCGCCTCTTCCAAGGGACGAGGGGACTGTGCGGCAGAGTTTCAGTTAGATTTTTTTTCGCAGGTCAACATGTGCTCTTAAGCCCCGCGGACCCGGTTACGGGGCCGAAATTCTGTCATTTGCAGGAAACAACGTCTAACCTCTTAAGCCCCAAGCCAGTTTTTCAGGTTTCAGGCTCGAAAATGACATTCCCAGAACAAATGACCATATCTTCTAAAAGGGTTAAATTAATAATCTTTTTTCTCAAAGTAATGATAAACCTGTGAGTTGGATGTAGAAAACTCAGAATCAATATAGATGTTTTTTATTTTAAAGCCTAGAAGTGATCCTTCGTTAGCGTGAAGAGTCTGCTAAGCTTTATGCGGTCCGCAGTACCTGAGCGTGCTCCACTAGCACCCCCAACTTCAAAATTCTGGGCTATATAAAAATCGCTGGCCCGCGATAGTGTCTATTGGATACATTTTGGCCCTTGGACAAATGTAGTTGGTGATCCCTGCCCCACGCTGTACATATCCGGCATGAATCGCTGGAAGGTTTGGGAAGCTTTGTTTCGTGAAAGGCTGGCAGAGGGTGCGGCCTCTGGGTGTTCACACATCAGAGTACCCAGGAAGTAAACCATAGAAAAAGAGAAATCTCCAACGTTCTCTGAGGCGTTCTGGGGCAGCATAGACAGGTCTTCTCTGTGTTAGAGTTTTACTCCCTACAGGGTGTACTTTGAGGGTTTGTGACTCTGCAGACCGTTTACATACAGAAGC